AGTTCAAACGAAAGAGAGGAATTTTTTTTTTTTAATACAAGTAATATATTATACTTTTATACTAAACAAATGAACGCAATGAGTTGAATGAGTTGAAGAGAAATTAGGACCCTAACCACCATGACCTAAGTGAGTAGCCAACAGACTATCGGCAAAATTTTACAACAAATTGGCCACCAATATGTCCGCTAAAATTTTCATTAGACCAGTTTGAAAATAATTCATATTTAGCTGAAGTGTAACATCCCACATCGCCCAGGGGAGTGATACTTAAATGTATATTCCCATCCCTACCTAGCACGAGGCCTTTTGGGAGCTCACTGGCTTTGGGTTCCATGGGAACTCCGAAGTTAAGCGTAGTAGCGCACGAGAGCATTCCCAGGATGGGTGACCCATCGGGAAGTTCTCGTGTGAGTTCCCAGAAACAAAATCGTGAGGGCGTGGTCGGGGCCCAAAGCGGACAATATCGTGCTACGGTGGTGGAGCGGGCCTGGGAAGTGGTCCCACCCGGGTCGGGATGTGACATGAAGGGCGAAGAAAGGCTTTTTTTTTTTTTTTTTAATTTAACAAACGATATTATTTAAGAGGTTGGCTTAACTTCAAATTGGCTAACAATAATGTGGTTCAAATTTACCTTTGGCGGGAATAAGATAAATTTGTAATATGGGGTAGTCTAATTCCATATAAACTCATCCAAGTTCCTTCTTCTAATGTGGATTCATTTTCAACAATAGATAATATAGGAACATCAAAATATTAAAGTTTAAAAAAAAATCAAATATAGATAGAGTCAAATACTTAGATAAGCGATTAGTTTGATTTTGATCTTATCTAAGAACCAAGGGTTCAAATCTAGTTTTCGAAAACCCTATAAAAACCTTCAGAAGCCTTATAATCAACATCCTTGACGACTTTCAATATTATGGCATTGGAGGAGCTCCCAACGCCCAAGCGTCCGTCATGGAACCATGGTCCCCAGTCCCTGCGTACGCCGTCGAAGAGTTCACCAAGGGAGGAGTCCCCAACGAAATGTTTAAAGCAGTCAACGTTTACGTGGACAAGAGGCTGTCTTGCCCTAGACTCAGAATTAAGGTCAGCAACAACACCAACCTCATCGAAAACAACGAATTCGAAAGTCATCAGAAACTTGATCCGGCGGCCGATAAACTGTTGCAAGTAATCACCGTTGACGGTAGTAGTCAAGAACTGGTCGACTCTTTCCAAGGTGTCGGCGTCATGTGGGTTCTGGTTTCCTCCAAACTGCCCCGCTCCGGTGATGGCCAAGTACGAGAACAACGTCACTTTGAACTAAGCTTCCGTGACGGCTTCGTTGGCGACGTCAATATGTTTTTGAATTCTTACTTGAACCACATATTACAGAAATATCAAAAGATCAAAGCAAAGAACGAGCAGAAATATCCAAAAATCAAAGCAAAGAACGAGCAGAATGAGGTCGGCCCTTGGATTGTTTGTGCAGTAATTTGTTTACTCCTGGTTGTATTTGGGTTCTTGATTTGTCGGGCTACTTCAAATATTAAATAGAAACTATGACGGATGGGCGGGCATAGCAGCACTTCAAACCTCTGTGATTTTTCATGATTTCTTTATGTTTAATTTCTTTTCTTTGCTTGCTGGTTTTCAACCAGCAGTTTATTAATTGTTATTTTTAAGGAACTGCCCTTTTTTCAACCAAAAAAATAACTTCCCTTTTTTGATGGTTTGTAAAACAATTAAACAATTCATTGGAAGATCGATGATATTGATATTCTAATAGTTCTCTATTGCCTATTGATGCTTAAAGAGGTGGAGTCTTGGTAAGTGTTGCTCTTTTATAATCGAAAAGTCACAGGTTCAAATAGTAAAAGCAACCTCTTTTTACGATAGTTTTCTTCCGATGAGATCCGATTCTAATGATATTTTCCGAGTTGACATTATTAAATGATCAAAATATCTTTCAAAGCGAAATAGATTGTGAGTTTTTTAAGGTAAGACGGATTGTGAGTTCTAATTAGTTAGTGATGATTTTTTTTAGTACTGATTAATTGGATTAATTTATACGGATTGTGATTTTTTTTTTGAAGTGGCAAAATTGGATTTAAGCGTGGAGATAATATTTTATTACTGATTAATTAGCACCAAAATTTATAGACCATATGGCATGGAATATTAGGGCTTGTTTGGTAGTGTACTTGAATCTAACTTTGTAAATTCAAAAACAATTTTCAAGTTTTAGGTCTTAAAAACTTGTTTGGTATGATTATTTCAAAAACTGAACTCAAGACTAACTCAAAAATATAGTCTATTATCTTAAAACATAAAAAGTGAGTTTTTAGAGTTTTTAAGCTTAAACTCACTCCTTTCTTTTCTCTCCCTCATTCCTTCTCACTCCAAATCTATCTCTCTCTTTTCTTTCTCTCCTCTTTTTTTTTTTTTACCTTTTTCGTCTCTCCTTCAGTTTGCTCTCTTCATTCTTTAGGTTCTCTATCTCGTTCGATCCTCCCTCTTCTTTCCTTTTCCTTCAATCATCTTACTTTCTTTCCTCCTCTCTTCTCTTTCTACCTCTCTTGCAACCCCCCCTCTTTTTAGATCTCTTTGTTCTACTTTAAGTCGTAAGATTTAAAAATTTTAAATTGCAAACCAATCAAGTTTTTGAGTCTTAAAAAAAATTTGTTTTCAAGAAATGTTCTTAAAAAATATTTTGAGAAATAATAAAAATTTCAAATAGAATACCAAACAGGCCCTTAGCATTTTAACATGTGTAATTTTATTTTTGAAAGGAAACTCAAGCTAATGATTTGACTCACATATAACAAAGACTAGCGGCAAAATGAATAGAAGACCACGAGCTATACATTGTTATTGACTCACATATAACATGAGTATAGTCACGTGACACCATATTCTAGTGTGATAGTTATAAAAACAAACTTTTCGTGTTAATAAATCTCAATCTCACAATTATAGTTTGAAATGAGCCATGCATTACATTCTGACCCAAAAAATCCAACAACCAAAACCAAAGGGATAGTTTTTCCCCTTCCCTTTTCTCCTTATGCATTTGGTACGTCAGACTATAATGATTACTTCATTTAAACAGACTAATATGTGCATCCAAATTATATTATTGTGTGCTTGGCATATAAAACGGCATGCCGAACGAGGTCCATATACCATAAGTCATAATAAAATAGAATAATTTGTAAAATTATATTATCGTGTGTTTGGTATATAATACGGCATGCCAAACGAAGTTTATGTACTACGAGTCAGAACAGAAAACGTACAACAAATAGAATTCTAGAACAGAGAGAGATTGGGAGGGAGCTTATCGTAGAGAAACCACCGACCTAACTAGCTTCGCTCAAAACTCAACTCCCTCAGTCTTTCTCTTCACGCAACCCCGAAAGATAAAACCCTACAAAACCCCTAACACAACCATCATCAGCCGCATCTCAATATTCCATTCAGTCACCACCACCACCACCACTACCAATAACCATCCCCCTCCAACCAACCCAGAAAAGAACTAAACCATGTTGTGCTTGTCGCAGGAAAACCTACCGTCACCAAAAACCATACTATCGGCGGCGGCCTCACTCGCCGCCTCCGCAATCCTGTTCAAAACGATTGCAAGCGACCTCATCCCGGAGGCTTTCCAAAAGTCCTTCTACTCCCGACTCCAGAAGCTCTCCTCCCAACTCACCGTCGTTGTGGAGGAGCTCGACGGCCTGACCCCGAACCAGATGTTCGAGGCGGCCAACCTCTACCTCGGCGCCAAGGTCTCCGCCGCTACGCGGAGGATCAAAGTCAACAAGCCCGAAAAGGAGGAGCAGTTTCTGATCACCATTGATAAGAATCAAGGCATCGTTGATTCTTTCAACGGTGTAGATTTCAAGTGGGTTTTGATAAGCACCGAAAAACCGAACAGTAAACGTGGCGGCGAAAATTCGCAGTCGGAGGTCCGACAGTTAGAGCTCAGCTTCCATAAGAAGCACAGGGACATGGTGCTGAGATCTTACTTGCCATACATTCTACAGAAATCCAAAGAAATTAAAGAGGAGAGAAAAGTGGTGAAGCTTCACACGGTTGATTACAATGGCACGGATTACTGGAGCTCAATCAACCTTGATCATCCGGCGAGTTTCGAAACAATGGCTATGGAGCCGGAGATGAAGGCGGCGTTGGTGGAGGACCTTGAGAGGTTTAGAAAGAGGAAGGAGTATTATAGGAGGGTAGGAAAGGCTTGGAAAAGAGGGTACTTGCTGTACGGACCGCCCGGCACGGGAAAGTCGAGCTTGGTTGCGGCCATGGCTAATTATCTCAAGTTTGATATTTTTGACTTGGATTTGAGGGAGGTTCAGTGCAATTCTGATCTGAGAAGGTTACTGATCGGAACGAAGAGCCGGTCGATATTGGTGATCGAGGACATTGATTGTTCAGTTGAGTTGCAGAACAGAGATTCGGAGGACAAGCCCAAAGCCGTGGAAGATGACAAGGTAATAACAATCTTAGAAGCGCTTTTGGTTATTTGAAAGCAATCGGTTTTTAATGTTTTTCTTAATTCACAGATCAGCCTCTCTGCTGTATTGAACTTCATCGACGGACTGTGGTCGACCTGTGGAGAGGAAAGAATTGTCGTGTTTACGTCGAACCACAAGGACCGGCTTGATCCAGCGTTGCTGCGACCTGGCCGGATGGACCTGCACATACACATGTCCTACTGCACCTTCGGTGGTTTCAAGACATTGGCATATAACTACCTGCTGATTCACGAGCACACACTTTTCGGAGAAATTGAGATGTTGCTTGACGGGGCACAAGCAACGCCTGCTGAAGTTGCCGGAGAGCTGATGAAGAGCGATGATGCTCATGTTTCCCTTCAAGGTCTTATCGAATTCCTCCGAGGAAAGACTGATAGAACCTGATGGGAGCAAATACTTACTACAGCCTATCGCTATTGCGATCGCAGATGTAATAGACATCAATTTTTAAACACTTTCTGTGGTAAACTTCTCCATTCTATAAATAAATTATAATCGAAGAGCCATTGTATGCACAAACAGAAAGTTCGATACAGAAGAACTCGAGAATGTTATATAATACTTTACATTATTCACAATATTATAATGCGTAACGTAGAAGGAAGCTTACAAACAAAAACAGCAGCACCTCTGGAGAGACGAACTTGGTATGTGCGGATGCATCTCAAATATACAAGGAAAGCATGACGAAAATGTCACACGCAGGTCCTCTTGAAGCAGAGATTGTCTTCACCAGCAAGATCTTTTTTTCTGTTTCAGAAAACGAGCATAATTTTCAGTTTCAGTGCGCAAAAGAAAATAAACAAGGAAAAGCCGGCATTGATTAAATGTTTTAATTTCGGATGATTCAATTACAAGCAAAATGTTTCACTAACCTGAAGCTTGGCCTGTTCTTGCCTGTCTATATAGGCAAGAAGTTCTTCCTGCCTCATTAAAGCCTCATGCAGAGCCTAATCAAGAAGCAACGTACAGTCCCAATTAAATCATCAAATGATCGAAAATGCAAGGACAAACAAAGATGAATTATGCTTATTGAGAAACGGCCACAAAGCTGACTAAGTACGCAAATATGGAAAGATGGGCATATATATATATATATATATGTAACTTGGACAGAGGAAGAAGAAAAAGACAATTACTCCAAAATTGCATCAGGGATTCCGAAACACGAGAAAAAATGTATTTCTACATTTCAAAGGTAAAGACAAGCAGCATATCAATACTGTTGCCAAATTGGCACAACAAAGCGACTATCAAATGAGAGAAAAATTACCTTTTTTGTTGCAATTAACTCTGATTCTAACGCATCTACGCGATAAACAGCAGCATTCAGTAGCTCCACTTTCTCATAAGGCATCTCAAGAGGCTTTGCTTGCAGCATATCTACCTTCTCCTCAAGTTCACCAAGCTTCTTCAAAGCAGATGAGAGAAGGTTTTCCCTGGATAACCCCGGTACGGGTGATGGGGGCCTGAATTCCTCCACGGCAGTTGACTCATCGGTTAGGTCAGGAATCTTGTGGGCAGAATCAGAAACAGAGTTTTTAAGTTTCTTAGTCGCTCGCAGTGAAAAAGATCGGAATACTGAAATGAGGGTTACAAAGAATGCCACAAGCATAGTCCAGATATTAGCACGCATGGCATCTGTTGTTTTCCCCACAGATCTTGGAGAAGATGCCCCTGCAATGTATTTTAATCGATTAATTAGATCAACTATGAATTTGTAACGAATAATATTAACTTTTAACTCTTGTAGTAGCATGGTGTTTGTAAACATAACCTCTGCTAACTATAAACCACATTGTAATTACACAGTACAGGAGAACTGTAACTAGATTTTCCAACCTCTAGAAGCAAGTGGTGGTTGTAATTCTGGTTTCTTCCATCCCATATCCACAGCCTTGTCAACCATGGGAACAAGTTCATCGTACTCCCGCAAGCCTGGTAGCAATGCTCGCTTTACCGACTACCCTAGCCTAAAACAGCATTTAAGCATAACAAATACAAGTTCAAAATGTCAACGAAACGAGATGACAATTTATAGCAGAATACATCTGTGTTCAGTAAAGCCAATGCTACACAAAAGTAAAAAAGATTGGTTCCACATGTTTTTGCTGCTTATGATTCAGTTGCATATGTTGCTAATCATTCTCAAATAACAGATGCTTATCAAACACAACACTTACTTCTTCACAAACAGGAGTCAACTTAGGTTGTAAGTAGTTCCTCGTTGGTTTAGGTGATCCCATTTCTTCCACTTCAGATCCAGACTCTGCGGTAGATGTATCACTACTTCTTATCTGAGCGAAAAATATAAACATAGCCTCAGAGAAACACTTCGATAAAACGGCTTCTAATGTAGACATAGTAGGATGGTCCAATAGTCCATACCAATGGATTGCGTGGCTTATCACAAACAATTATCCTCCCTTCACTGTTTGAAACTGTAACTATTTGTCTGAAACATTGTGCTTCACCACTAATTACCATCTGCAAGCAAAAAGCATTATTTTTAAGCCATACAATAGTACGGTCACAAGCAGAAAGAGGAAGAGAAGGTGAAACAAAAATAACAATCCATCTAACACAACCTTCAGTATGTTTGGGTCCTTCCATGGCCCTTTATCAGACGACATACATCCTCCCTGATCGGAACAGGTACAGCTACCACCTAAAAACTCATGGCAACTCACTGTATAGAGCCAAAATATTTCCACAGTTAATAGTTATGAAAACAGAATGATAACAAACCCACTGAAAAAATAGTGAGCATCAATCACCTTGCATCGATTATTTCAAGTAATTTGCTTTGGTACTTGTTACTCAAAACCTGAAAAAATATAACAATATCAGTTGACGCCATTGATAACTTCAGTCAACAGTGACATCAAATCTTGGCTGTATCATCAACCATACATGAATTTTGCTGGTTGTTCTGGCATCGAGGAACGCTTTAACTGTAGGCCAGAGCACCTTCCTAAAAGCATAACTAGCATTGATTATAAACATTCGGCAAAGCGTCTGTCACAAAGAAATTTAAAAATTAGAAGATACACTTCATACGGATTTAATTAAAATCACCACATATCCTGAAAAGGCATCAATTCTTGGAAGGATTACATAGAGTCCTCATACCTCAGGATAGTTGTCACTATCAATCTTCTGCAGCTGCTCCGTGAGATCTCGTGCAGACTTGGTAAAGTTTTTAAGACCCTGAAAGAAGCAAAATGGAATGTTAAATTAGCATTTGTATATTTTATGCAAAACTAAAAAAATTAACGAACACTTGAGAAGTTAACTGAAAGCATACCACGCCGTGAACATCTATAATTGTTGTGCTTGAATCTATATGTCTCTTTGCAGCAATAGAGCAGGCTGGAAACTTAATGGCAAAACACCTTTCATACTCCTGCACATGGTATCTCACATACCGTTCCAAGGAAGTCACTTGCATAAGCTTGGTGGGATCAACTTTCCCCAGCCTTTCAATGTAAACAGGTCTTCCCTCCTTGTCAACGCCATGATAAAACTGAGGGTAGTGCTTTCGAACTTCATTCAACTCGCTGAACTCAAAATCCTGAAAGAAAAAAGAATGTGATTTTTACTTCCGCTTATGGGTGGCATATCCACATCTTTAAACATTTTCTTAAATATGCATTGCAGAATTGTATGGTGAATTTACCTCCAAAATTGTATCAGTACCAAAATCTTTCCTCCATTGAATCATATTGGCCCACATATGCTTTGCTTTCTCGATATCGAACTTCCTTGCTGTCAAAAATCTGCAACAAAATAACTTCTCAGCAACAAAACATACAAAGTAAACAGAAAAAACCAAACTTTCCATATCAAATCTTGTATGAAGGAAAATAAAAAACAAAGAAACTCTGTTTCCTGGGACAATGAACAACCTCAACAACATATGGTAGTCATCATGTCTTGGAGGCAGCAAGTCTTCCGAAATAAGCACCAGCCGAAATGCGTCAACAGCCCGTAGCTCCTCGACGTCCCTTACATCCTCAATCGAAACCGAAGTGGACAGCCTACTACCACCACCACCACTCTTCCTCCTCTTCTTCTTGAGAGAACGTCTGAATTTAGTAGACGCATTGATTGCTTTCTTCCTCAAATTCCCACCAATTCCAGTCCTCCTCTCCTCCTCCGAGTTCTCAAAATCCGATTTCCTTTCCCTTCTTTCGTCGTGGCTAGAGAACCCCTCAAAACCTAATCAACGTCAACAAAATTACAAAAATTACCATCATCAATCCCTATTGCTATCAATCAAAGATAAAATCCTAGTCCAAGATCAAAAATTCAATCACCCCAATCCAAAACCCTAGAACCAGCACAGGCAACAGAATCAAATTTTCAAAATAAAAAATAAAAAATAAAAAATATAAAGAAAATAGGAAGAAATTAGCGAACAGAAGAGATAGGAACCGGTCAACGAAGGCGAGTACTCACAAGGCCTTGCGAAACGATCCAGAGGTCCGGACATGGCGGCGTTCCGAGAGCTGCTGAAACCGGCGGCGGACGCAGAAGCGAGACTTCCTCTTCCGAATTTCCGATTCTTGGAGTGAAAAATGAGACCAGAACCAGGGCTTTTCGATGGCGGAAAAGGCCTCAGCGTCTCCGAGCTAGACGAAGATCGGAGTGAGACAGAGGAGTCTGGAGCCATTGGAGGAGACGGATTTAAGATAGAATTTATGTAAGCATGATTAAAGTAGAATTTAATTTAATTTTAATCAGGTTTTAATTTGTTTGATAAATGACGGCGATTGCCGAACGCCTCACGGGAAAACGTCGGTGACGGATGAACTAACTGGTACGGTGTAACGCCGTTTGGGAAGTTATCTGCACGCGCCAGTTAAATCCAACTGGGGGAGGTTGCCACGTCGGCATAAAGCGCGTGGGACTTGGCGGGAATTTAACACCGGCGTTACGACTGTTGCTCTCTCTCTCTCTCTCTCTCTCTCTCTCTCTCTTTTACTCTTCCGCGGTTTCGGTGTTTAACTTGGCTTGGACCTGGGGAAACGTAAATTACTGCTGAAATCAGGGTTAAAAAGGTAAATCAGGTTCCGTTCGAAATTATGAAACTAACTTCGTTCTTTGGGAAACAGCACAATCCGTATCCTCTTTGTAAGAATCTTGAGAATTCGTAAATTATATTCGTTCATCGTATATCAGTGAGGTTAAAAATTATTTTAAATATTTTTAGTTAAAATTAAACATAAATAATACCTAACAAAAACTGACCGCACGATATAGAATGAACGAACACGATTTACTAATCTTCAGAGACCTCACCAAAAAGATCCAGAGAGGATCCTGTTGAGAAACAGCAATAATTTTGGTAGAGAAAAATGCACAAATCATGACGCATTTTAGCTGAATAATAGAATGCAGTTTATTTTTTGGTTGAAATCATCTCGTTTTCTTGCCTTTTACGTTTCCTATATTAATTTTGAAAGAGTTGTCTTGTCTTTCAAATGACGTAGTTAGATTAATTTAATCAACTTACACGAAATAAATCTATCACTATTATAGCAATTCGATTGAATAACACAACAGTATGTTTCTTCCCACACTGATTAACATTATTTGACTCGAAAGCCACATAACTGAACTATTTACTCTAAAACAAGATAGTAACAACTAAAGTTTACCCCCACATGGTGTCCATCTTTTTATTTCAAAAGGGGACCATCAGTTCACCCTTCCGGAGCCAGAAAGAATCACAGATCGTGTATTCCACCAACGCCAAAGATCTAACCCAAGACATGCCGTGTAAAATAAAGACCTCAAATTGTCCCAAACTGGACCATCCCGTGGTGGTTCACAACAGTGGTGTCCTGAGCCACTGATCTAGAGCAATGCGAACAGTTTTAGTGGCTCAAAACGCTATCGTGACAGTTAAACCGTTCACAAGGCAGTATGTCGGCGGAGCTTGAACTTTTCTAAGTAACGCATGCCATTCAGAAAAATGGTATAAGTTGGCATGGAATCACGCATGCCAATCACAATACGAACTCTCAATTAAGTGGCTTAGCAGAAACCAACAAGTGCCATTACATTGCTAGTAAGTTTTAACTATAGTCTATACATACACGTAATTATTTACTATATTCACAGGCTTTTTACATCATATATTCATATATATATATAAGAAGAGCGGAGATGCACGGCGGATTGCGGGTGTAGCCGATGAGCTGATCAAACTTCCAAGAATGCTGTCTATGTACAAATTTAAATCCCTACGGGCGATTCTGAAAAAAAAAACACACGTGAATTCGGCTTGCAGTTACAGTTACACTCATAATTTCGACTAGTTTGGGGACAATGGCGGGCTTCTTACCATTCATGCCAAGTTCTTTCTGGCACGAAGTTGGAGAAGCTTGTCCCTCCATTGAGCTGTAAGGGAGCATGAAAATATATATGTGAGATTCAAAAGCTCCAACAGCATTGATACAAACACAACCAACAATAAATGAAAGAGCACCAACAATAACGGGCCCGAAGCACCAAAGTCTAGTCCCATTGAATAGCAGGCAACTGAATAAAGTAACATCACAGGACTTTGATAGGTGAAAAAAATACTAATGGACAGAACATATTTACCAGCATCTCTATATCGTTCCTCAACTGCAGCTATAAGCATGTTGCGCACAAGATTAAACTCCTTCGTTTCAACACATGGTTGACCATTTGGCCTGAAACCATATAAAGTTTCAATTAACTCCTCTATTTTACGGAATGCCAAATACGTAGGTTCTACCCTGATCAGATTGAAACACCTATCTACATGAATTTCCAAAAGACTGAACATGCATTTAAGTTCAATGTAGACAACCAGTTATATCATCTGATCACAGTCAGATTTCATTCCCTTAACAACTCACCTCATCCAAGACCAACCGTTACATCATCTGATCAGTTAGATTAAATTCAATTCAGGAATAATCCCTTCGAGATTGAACATAAGACCCATGTCTAAGACATTCAATACTCACCGATCCAGTTGAGTAAATAATAATCCATCTGAAGCAGGGCCTTGAGTTGAGAACTTTCCAGATTCGATGACTTTCATTCCATCGCTGTATGCCAGGTACTTGTTGACCTGTATGGGAACCTGCACAGAACGTGGAAAGAATACAGTTGATCACAAAACAGCTATTAAGCATTTAGAGCCTCCTACCCTTGTAGATTACTATATTGCTACATTTCTGAAAGTTCAAAGAGTTTTAGCAGGGATTTTAAGCAATCTACTTCTACGATTCAAAATGTAGATCTAAAGAGTATAGTATGTACCTTGCACCGTACAGCAATGTTGATGGCGTCTGAAGGCCGAAGGTCAAAGCTGACACACTCTGTCTCACTACCTGCCTGTGATCACTTCTAACAGTGTCACTATACACTTAACTAACCAACTTAAGAATTTAAATTTCCAGAAGTAATTCAGTCCCTCCCCGCTTTCCCCCCACCTCAAATGACCATAAAAGAATAGTAATAATAATTAGATATAATAACAAAAATTAAGCCGAATGAAGTGTGAAGGTATATGCCTTTCTGAGGTATAGCTGAGCAAAATACGCCTCATGCACTCTCTTGGTGACTCTGACAAGTCGGACCTGCAGAGATCGAAAACAAACAAAAACAATTAAAGATCACGAAGAATGTACATTAATGGACAAGCATTGTCATACTGTACTAGAAGGAGGACACAGGCATACCTCATAACCCATCTTGTCAATCATCTCCTTCACCACTTGATACATAGTTGGCCTAGCCTGCAAACATAACCCAAAAAATTTAAAGAATTCCTACATTAACCAATATGTTGGCAAGGCCTAATTTTGCCCACTCAACAAACGTGGATAGACGAAATCTTAATTCAAATGGAAGGACAATGTAGAGAGAAACCATACAATAGGAACATTGCGGATTGCTGCCATGAGCAACACACTAGGCATCTCCACTGCAATCAAGGGCAATCCCGAATTCAAATTGACTTTCTAAGGTAAATTTCAAAGGTAGACAATTTGTAATGTCAGAAATTATTAGTTCAGGATAACATACAAACAATTATTGGGAGAAGAAGACCGGTCCCATCCTCCATCTTCAATACAATTGCAGGATGCGGAGCATAATCGGGGAGATGCCCCCCTTGAGGGTTGTTATGGACACACCTCATGTGCCTACCATCCCGCATCTTGATCATGAATCCATCAATTCCACTCTTCACCTCAACTATACCAAAAACCGTACGCAGACACTTATTACTCAACGGTTCATAGGATATACAATTACACAAGAAAGTTTACAAAACCGCAATCATTCAGTCAGGTGCTTCAGATCATTGGCATTTCAATTATAAAGATTCATAATTCAATTTCAAGACGGCGTTAAAGGTTTACAAGAATGAGCAAGCTGATCAATAGCGTACCGGCTTCAAGTACGCTAGAGTTGACATAATCTTCGTCATTTTCATTGAAATTCTCCGCCATGCTTCCGTTCCCATCCGACGAAGAACTGAAAGTACAATGCACTCTTGTGCATTTTCGAGCATTTCGAGGGCGGGAAGCAAAACCCGCCTTCGTGATACTGCCGCTGATCCCTCGGAATCCAAGCCTAGCCTTCACCAAAGGGCCTACCACAGGCAGAGTGTCAAACCCCGATCGCTTTGCTCGAACGGTGGGGCAAATTACCGGCCCTTGCAAACACGCCATCTTATACTTCTCCAAAATCTACAACAAAATAAACAAATTAAGCAAACATGTGCTGTTTGGTTGCTGAGAAAATAAATAAAATCGAAAAACTGATATTTTTTTCAGCATATATATTTGGATAAATTCGTACATAGGCTGGAATTTTTATGCTTGATTAATGCATGATTTCATAATTAGATCACGATTTCGAAATTTAATCACGAATTAGTAAATTAAAATGCTAAAAAATTAAATTAAAAATCCAATCTCTCCCTCACTCTCTTTCAAATTTCCAACACCCAGTAGTGAGCTCCAAGTTTTGGAGAGTATCAAACACTCAGCCAATCACAAATATTAAAACTGACCAGAACCAAAAATCAAACCTTTTTTTCGTAATAATAAAAAAATCAGACCTTTTTAATCACCGATCAAAGCTTTCTTAGCCGTCCGTTTCCCGGAGCTCGATTTTACCGATTCTCCACAGATTCTAAGGATTCCGGAATCCAATTCCCAGAAACTAACTTCAACGTGAAATTCAAAAGGGTCTGAATCCAAGCGATCGAAAGACAGAGAAATGATCAGTCCAGTGAGAGGAAGCTTCTGGATGAGGAAAATGGAGATTACTTTGGGTTGTAGAAGATTGGAGAAATTAGGGAGAAGGAGGATCACAGAAAGAGGAGAGGCGAGAAGATAAGAGATTCTTCCGCCGTATAAGTTGTATTTATCAAGAGAGAAAAAAGGACTCGTAGTGGGACAACTTGAATCAAGTCTGTTTTCTTAAATTACGGCTCTCTCCTTGTTGAAATGTGAGCTGATTTGCCAACTCAGAGAAAATTTTAATCTGAGTGAACCATGCATCATAATACAATTGGTTAATTTTTTTAAGAACCGATTGTATAATAACAATGGTTATACTGAATTGTGTTTTCAGCACGTTATAACAAACAATATTATCCATATTAAAGGAGAGAGTGGGCTTAGTGTTTCAATAGCCTAGCAATAATGTGATTTATTTTCGCCTTTGACGATAATCGAATTTAAAATTTCTCACTTATAAGTGAGAGGAATACTACAAAACGTAGTATGAAGTGGCAAAATCTCTGGTTAACTTCAAATTCGGATCCTTGCCGAATCATCTTTGTAAGGATTCTATATCTTTTCATTGTATATCGTACGAATATAAATTATTTTAAATATTTTTATTTAAAATCAAATACAAATAGTACTTAATAAAAATTAATAGTATAATATACCATAAACAAATACAATTTACGAATCTTCAAAATTTTCATAAAAAAAATGAGGAGAGGATGCTGTTGGGTTAACTTCAACTGAATGTTGGCAACATTTTGATCTGAGGAAAGGGTATTTACGACTTTTGAGCGGAGTGGATAGTACTGGTCTGACTGAAAGTAGCGGCTGCGCGCGTAGAATGACATCATTGCTGCATGGACTGAGGTGCAACGGTGCCGGCGGTCGACGAGATCAAGAATCGTACACGACTGCCACGTGTGTCCATTATTTAGGGTGATGTGGGTAAGGTTGTTCTTCTTATTCTCTTTCGCCCTAAAAAAATATCAAAATTGTGTTTTGTCCCAAAATATTGTCCCTTTTCCTCAACTCTAATCCTCTTAACTCCTTTAAAAATAAAAATAAAATTTTAAAAAACCTCTGGTGAGAAGACGCTCTCTGGATCTCAGTATTCGTAAGCCAACAGATTGAAAAAATGAGGTTATTTATTTTAACTTATACGGTTCTATTTAGTCTATTTTCTCAGCCTACTTTATACAAACCAAAAATTTGAATATCTTTTTTTCTCTCTTCAACGACTTAGATTTCTAATATTTGAACTTCGGAAAAAGGATCTCAACTCTAAAAAATGGACTCTATTATGGCAAAAACCTTTAGGCCTGTTTGGTGGGCTAGTTTGAATAAGTTTGACCAATTAAAATGGACTTGAGTCTAGTATGTTATTTGTTGCGTCAAAATATGAGACGAATAAGATTGGACATGATGCGTTATGAATACACAATAAAATAAAGCTATCTAACTTATCCTTACACGTTAATTATAAATCATGTCTTACAAGTCTCTATCAATTCAAATCTATCTCTAACATCCAATCTAATCTAGCCTACCAAATGGGCCATTTAATTAAAGTGTTCTGCTGGTGTGCTGATTCAGAATTTCAGACAAACAACAAGTCATGGTTTTTATCATATTAAAATCTGGTCCATGTCAATGGAATAAGTGGCCTATTAGTTTCAAAACAAGGATTTGGATCCTCTCCTGAGCTAATGGAGAGGATTCTTCTAATCTATTATCTTGGACTGTTGGATAAAAATTCAACGATTATAATTATTATAATTTTAAAGAGACTCCCTATTTGTAGCCGTTTGATAAAAATCTTTTTGAATATTGGTAGAATTTCAAAGTCGCTTATTTTTAATGGGTATAATATTCCAGATAAAATGTGTAAATTTTATTAAATTAATCGGGAACAAAAGAGACAACTTACCGGAAAAATAAGGAAGAAATCATCATATTATTGTAAACTAATATTACTTTAATAAGGTAATAAGGATTAATTAAGAGGCAACTTACACCATTAAATAATTGATTTGTTAAATAAATGAATGAAAGTAACATGACCCTTTTTTTAGGCAACCTCTTATGTGGGGTATATGCCACCAAATCAAGTCATCCAAAACGTATGAAAGATGTTTTCATTCAATTTTTACTTCTTACACGCTTCTCTTAATTTTTTATCGTTAAATTGAAGGAATTGAATAAGAGCATTGAATAAAAATTAATAAAAGTATGTGAGAAGTAAAAAATGACGTGTGATAGTACTTTTTTTTTTGTTAGCAAAAAGTCTAAGATAGAAAATGTGACATCCCACATCGCCCAGGGGTGTGATCCTTAAATGTATTTCCCATCCCTACCTAGCACGAGGCCTTTTGGGAGCTCATTGGCTTCGGGTTCCGTAGGAACTCCGAAGTTAAGCGAGAAGGGGGCTAGAGCAATCCCATGATGGGTGACCCACTGGGAAGTTGCTTGTGAGTTCCCAAAAACAAAACCGTGAGGGAATGGTAAGCTCAAAGCGGACAATATCGTGCTACGGTGGTGGAGTGGGCCGGGGAAGTGATCCGCCCCGGGCCGGGATGTGACAATTTGGTATCAGAGCCTAACCCTGGCCACGTGTGTGCCGACGAGGACGTTGGGCCCCTAAGGGGGGTGGATTGTGACATCCCACATCGCCCAGGGGTGTGATCCTTAAATGTATTTCCCATCCCTACCTAGCACGAGGCCTTTTGGGAGCTCACTGGCTTCGGATTCCATAGGAACTCCGAAGTTAAACGAGTAGCGCGCGAGAGCAATCCAAGGATGGGTGACCCATCGGGAAGTTCTCGTGTGAGTTCCCAAAAACAAAACCGTGAGGGCGTGGTCGGGGCCCAAAACGGACAATATCATGCTACGGTGGTGGAGTGGGCCCGGAAAGTGGTCTGCCCCGGGCTGGGATGTGACAGAAAATTACGGCAAAATGTCACGAGGACAAGCGACTACAATTATATCAGCAAGAAAAAGACATCGATAAGATGAAGGAGTTTGTTCAAAAAATAACCAAAACTCAATGGCTTTTTTTGTTTCTAGAAAACACACGTTTAGTACTAAATAACTCACTCATTTGGGGAACCCTTTTTGGCTAGTGAGAGCGGACAGTTCAAACTATAACCTTAGGTGGGGTTTTCTTACCAGTTGCAATATGGTATTTTTTAAATAATTTATAACTAAATTGATTTTATTAATTTTTGCCTTCTCTCTATTTCATTTAGGCATGACAATTTTTGCACGACTTGTCAACCCGACATAAAATGACACGAAAATAATAAGCTTCAAATTAACCTGTTAACAATTTGGGTCGTTATCGGGTCGTCCATTAATAATCCGTCAACAAGTTGGATCGTTATCAGGTTACTCGTTAAAAACCCAATAAAACATCTTTTTTAGATCTAGACATTAGATATAACAACTTGTTACAGGATATCTTAGTTTGACACGAAACGACACGATTTGTTAATGAATCGAGTCATTTATTAATAACTCATTGAGATAACGGATTTGATATCTCATAATCTGTTAAGATAGCAAATATGATACAAAAAACAATACAAACACAACAAACGCGACTCATTTACCAAACTTAATTTTCATCCGAATAAGAGCCCGAAACACCAAAACACAAAAGAAAATAGGTGGTCCAGAAATCAATATTGTTAATCTTCCCGAGTGGTCCGTTAATATCTCAAAATTAACAGAGAAATATTCGAATGAAATGTACACAGTCCAACGTCCCTTGGAAATTCGGAAATCGTAGAATTACAGCTGGGATTGATTGAAGAGGCCCTTCACAAACTGACAAACTATCGGCCTCTCTTTTGAAAGCAGATTTGTTAAGTTGTTAAATTCAAACATGGCAGCCAATATGTCTAATCATATACTCCTACCACTATCTTATTGGTCTTTCTTTAACTCGTGTGGATAATAAGTTGGATTTCAAGTATTGTAGTTGTACTATAGTTGGTTCATTGAGTTTTCACTTATTAATGTAACTAAATCGTTATAATAAAAAAAATTAATTATTAAATTTTAGGGTTAGGTATAAAAAAATTGTTCAATTTTTTTTGGAGTGATTTCAAATTAATCTCAACATTTAAGAACATTCCAAATAACTACTAACATTTTGAAAATCAAACATTTGATAGGTTATTGAGGACTTTATCAATATTAAGTGATGACGTTACTGACATTAAATAGTGAGGTGTACAAATACTAAAGTTGATTTTCACTAATTGACGTCTTTGGAGTTCTAATCCCCCAAATTGACTCATTTTAGTCAAGTTAAACCATAAATTTGCTTAGCTAAATGGTGTCAATTTGAATATTCAAATATCATAGATGACTTGAGAGTTCAAACACACTTAATATTTGTCCATGTCATCACTTTACATTAGTGAACTTAACAAATGTCCCTTTTTCAGAACTTTAGATAGTTATTTGAAATATTTTAAAGGGTTATGATCGATTTGAAATCACTCCTAAAGGTTGGGTAGTTATCCGGACTTAAACTTTTGCAAAGACCAATTTACATACATGTTTTCTTTTCTTTTCTTATCTATTTTGTAATTTATTATTGAACTTTTGCAAAGACCAATTATGTTGTGTAAAATTTTTGCAATGGCAGTTTTTAGTTGGTTAAGAGTATTCGTCTTGATCCGAGATCATATGTTTGAATTTCCTTTCCGTAATTTACATGATTTTATGTATATTATTATATTGTTTGTCAAAAAAAGAATGGGATTGTGTTAATTATTTAATGTTCCTTTTGAGAAGAAAAACCAGATATCAAGAATGTTAAAATTGGGCCTAGAGGTGGAAAGTGGAAACGCATAAAATAGGCTGGGAGGATAAATCTGGAGCCCAAAACCTAAACGAAGCTTGGGGGCATAATTGATACTACCAAAGGATTGAATAGAATGTTGTTGTGGTTTATTTTAATCTGATAAGGGAGAGAGGAGGTACGACAAAGAGAGTAGGAAGGGAGATGTGTTTGTAGGGTTGCATAGAGGATGTGTTATTCCTTACGCATTGCCTTTATTTATAGTAATACAAGTCATAATAGAGAAGAATAACTAATATCAAATCTAATATAATATTTACA